CTTTTTCAATTTTTCAGATTTTTTAACTTCTTTCGCCTGATTCCATTCTTCATACAACGAGTATACTAAATGACACACTCACACGCTGACACACCGAGCTACGCCCCTTTCGCCATGCCAATTTCTGCGAATTCCAATGTTCATTCCTCCTCGCAAGTCTCACCGTTTTTGAAAGTTCCCCAGATCAATAGGCAGAGTCTCAGATGGCAGGTTAGTCTCGCTCGTAGCTTGGAGCAAAAATCAGGCCAGCTTTGTTCCGACACGCGGGACTCCGACGGACTTGGAGCCCTAATTAAAACTGCAGCCTGTCAACTTGGAGGTATGTGGCAAGAGAACCGTAATTCGCCGCGCCAACGGGCGTCGCGTGCGACGTCGCGCCCGCTAATGACGACGATTTTAGGTGGTATTGGTCGAGAATAGACAATGTATGACCAAAGCTAGCATAATTGTCTACCACGTCCTTGTCTACATGAAGCCCGATGCTCCAATCGAGTGTAGTTCAAGTTAAAGACAGCCCCCGCGCTCAAGCAATTCGTGGTCGTCCTTTCTTGTGCAAGTAGTCCAGCCCCAAAGCTAAGAGACTGTCCCACTCTCGCGACTCCACAGCGAGCGAGGAGCGTGCTACAGCCGCTGAAAGTTCTAGTTCTAACGCCCGCTCAGTTGGACCGCCCACTTGCTAGATGCCCTCTGACGGAGGGCCGCTCAGTTGTTCTTTGTTGGGCGGCGGGCATTAATCGGAGCTGCATGCCCTTTAAGCTGACCGCTCTCACCCATGGGTATCTGCTCTCCTTAATAACATTTTATTCATTAAGCACATACAGTCAACTGCAACCCATCTCGCAAGGTAAAACGCGTAAAAATCACGAGTGATGCAATTTCCGTGGTGCAAAAGCTCGACGTGCACTAAAAGATGCACGCTACCGTAACCCTAAACTTCGTAAGCCGAGTTTATGAAAGCTTCTTTTTGTCGCGACTTTCCGTCGGTGTTTTGTTGTTTTTTTCGTACTCTTTTCTTTGCACTGGATGATATTTACTACTGGGAGATGCGAAAAAGCGATTTGTGAGCCAGGGGTTGCACAGAGACCGCAGGGCGGTGTGACTGTCAGGGAGCGATTTTGTTTATGGTGTTCTTGAGGACTCTTCTTGCTTTTTTTCTTCTTTGGGGAATTACTTATCAGCTACTGTTTCATAATTGAACAACAACTATCCATTACTTTTTATCGGAACTGACTTCAAGGGAACGTCGCGCCCATTGCGCGCGCGCTGCGAAGCGGCAATTCACAATTCTATTGTCCGTCTCCCCCAAATTGGGCTTTTTCAAGAGCGGGCGGATCTTCTGCAGAGTGAGCGAAGCTTTCCATGTTGGAAAGAGCTATTGTACAGCCGAAAAGCCGTGAAAATAGAAAGACAACCGAAATTTCGCAAAAACCCGCGAATGTAAGCCAAAGCGGCGGAGCATAGGGTGTCAATGAAAAAGCCGTCCTATAAGTGCACTCGTTGTGTGAAGAGCAGTAAAAAACGACGCTCAAGAAAGTTATAAAATACCATCAACTCACACGATAATTTCCAGCAAACTTCCCATCGCCTTCCTCCGGTACCTGAGATGGTTCACGATCTGAGGCCTTATAGAAGAACGCCGTAATGCTGTCAGAGAAGCTCACTTGTTTCCTCAGCGATTTTTTACTCCCCATTAGGCAAGATCGTAAAGTTGATAAATGATTCAGCGTTGAATTCAGCGAATGCGGGGCAAGTGCCTGATGTGAGGTTTCACCGTCGTCATTTCCATTAGCTTCACGAAATGATGGCGAAAGGGATGAACATGGCTTCTGTTGCTTCGCTTCCTTCTCATGAGCGCAATCACTGCTTGAATTATGTCCGCTACAGTTTAATATGGTCTCAGTAGAGCCCGTGGAAGTAGACGGCAGCGGTTCCTCATGAGGAGAGGTCACGTTCAAATCGCATCCGGTGATATCGTACACGTTCTTCTTCGCAAAACGTTCTCTAGCCACTTTAGGGAACTCGTCCAAATACCATTTACCCTAGGAAATCAAAACCTTTAGAACAAGAAGCAATATTCGCACACAACACTACCTCATCGGGAAGAGTGCACAAATTGAAGATTCCAAGGCGGAGGCTGACGAGGTTAGCAATATTTGCAGGTTCGTTCCACTAAACAATACCGTAGAGACAACTATAATAAAACAATTGAAAAAAGAAAACAAAAAGAACGCAGTAAAGCCTCATGAGTAAAAGGAAAAGCTAAAAAATTAACAACTAGACGGCTGGCTGTTCAGAGTGACTAAGAAAGGTTAGGCTGCGTTCATACTTCGCGACTACGCGTTACGTCGCGCTGGCGTTGAAGTTTCACTCCAACACAATGGACGCGAACGCATCCAAAGATGGATATCGATCAGCGTCCGTCTCTAGTGTTTCGGGATTACGGGAGAATAGCAAGTATGTATCAGTCAGCGTTTTACACCAGGGAAGCGTTAGAGTACCGAGCTGACTAGGCGTTATAAGAGAGCAACGCTGCTGATTTGCGACCGCACTGCAAACCTTTCTGTTTTGTGACGTTTAACCATACCCTCCTATTGTCTCGCCACCCCCCCCCCCTGGCTGCGTTCCAATTGCACTGGAGGGTTACAACGACAGCGCAACGTCGCGCGTCGACGGACAGCAAACAAGCAGCGAAACACTTTTTGATACCTAAATTCTAACAGATCAACGAAATCCGGTTTTGCACGGAATGAGTAAATCATACAAAGAAAATGGCGGTTGAAAGACAGGGTCATTATCAAAACTGACAGAACGCTCTCCCTATACTCCATTTCGGGCAGTGCCATCCCTTTCTTCACTAATGGTAACGATGGTCAAGAAAAACCATCGATCAAAATAGGATCTGCGTTATCGCGGGATTCTTCTGAGCGACTACGTAGTTCCAAAGCGCACGAAAGCGTTTTCGAAATACGAATCATTGCGATAACATCGGTAGTTAAAATGGATTGGAATAATCTTCTAGCTTGCTCGTTAGCCCGACAGTCCTGATGCGAAGCCTCCTGGCCTCACTTAAGGAAGTTCATTCTAGTCCCAGGCTCATACTGTTGCGTAAAAATATCTTGCTCGAACCAAAGTTTGATTCTTTATCAAAAACATCCGAATTAATCGACAGGTTGCTAGCTGGTGTTAACGATCAAATGTGTGTTGAAGCAGGCAGCTACTAACACCCGTGCCACTGCGAACCTCGACAGCCTTTCTCAGCCTCATCTGCTCGTCCCTGTGCGATCCTTTTTCACATATTAGGTTGTCCCAAAAGTTCTGCGACACTTTTTGAATCTCGTATCAGATTTTTCCGCAGCCATTTCGAGATCCAGTTATGTGGTCTATGGGAAGTGTGTGAGGTAAGCATTCCACAGCTTCTTCACCGTCCCTCGCAGTCGCTGTTCTCATATGAAAAACGGTAATTGAAATTCATCATTTTCGACACACTTCGCTATATGAATCTCTACCAAGCCACAACGTGGTTGGAGCCATAAGCGGCATTTCCCTTATTTAGATCTTGATGTTACCTTCCACAGTACGGCTTTGGAATGGCCCAATTGCTTCCGCTTTAGTGACTTCTATCCGGGTGAAAAACTTCGTCCAAGGAGGCCACCTGCCTTGGATTTGGACCTACTGTGTTCCTTGATTAAAACCAATTCGTACAAATCAACTTGCTATCTAGTCCTTACACTTGACTGGTCCCAAAGCACAAATGAGAAGGCCTCGCTCCCTTAGAAAAGTTCTGAAGTTCGGTCAAAAGTTTTCTCATGAGTTGACCAGTACTCCAAGGGGAGCACATGGGGGTACTGTCTACAACTTCTCTCCCGCTTCCGCTGTACGGGCCGCTTGAACAGCACTGTAACTCGATATGGAGTGGGTGCCTCCAGGTGAATCAGTCCTGGGAGGGCCAGCGGCTAGATCCCCCAGAAAGGGCAGAACCATCGCGCAATCAATCAGTAGGGCGGTGAGGCTGTGTATGTGGTGGGGTACCTTTCTCCGCTCTCGAAATGGAATTCCCTCCTTCCAACGCTATGGTAACCAGGAAGCCCTATTGTAATCAACTGCAAAGTGGGGTGGAAAATTTCTACTGTTTGGTTCCAAAAGCGAGCAATGTTTGCCTACTCCA